TATTCGTTCATAATCGTAATAGTTCGCAATTGGTCACGTCATTTACGATGTAAATAACGAAAACCAATGAGCCCAGTGCACTGATTTTCTTGATCACAATGATCCAGTTTATAGGCTTAGATATTACGGTAGAGTATTATCTTTTATATCTGTATATGTTCGTAAAGTGCGTTTGTAACCTCGAAACATCGTAAGTCGCGACCGTCGTAACCCGAGGACTCCCTGTATGTATGTGTGCGAACAATTATTTTCGAAAATGAACATTACAAAGAACAAGCTAGAACTAGGATTAGTGATGCCCATTTAGAAAACCTTCCAATCTTGGCGTCGTAAAGCTATCAAGCGTGATGCAGCAACAAGACAGTGTCACATTAAATGTCATTATAATAATTTTTTAATAAGACGACCGAGTTGAGTTCACTAATTGTCGCGGTTTTTGCCCGCTGTTCCGTTTTAACTTTCAAAAAATATATGCGACCCACAAAAGATTAGCGAACCTAAATGTAAAATGAGGGGTGAATTTAGGAAGTTAAAGGCTATAAGGCAAAGAGTACATAAACTTGTATAAACTACTCTAGGGGGGCGATGGTACAAAAAGTTTGGGAACCACTGGTGTAGAGGAAGCACGACCTGGATGTCATCGGTTATATCGGGAGGACATGGGTTGCCCCTGGTCATCGGGAGATTAATAAGTAAGATAAATGTATTTTATAAATTGAGCCGGATTATAACACACACTGTCAATAAATTGATTAGTTTGTTTTTTTCCATACGTGAGGCATATGTGGAGAGGAACATTGGCTTATAGGGCAATCGATTTTCGAGAAAAAATACGATTTGTGGTTCGTACAAAACGGTGATTCTTATGACATCTCAGATTCGAATTCCATGCCCGCTATCTCACCCAGAGTGTAATAAAGTGTAATAAAGAGAGCCGCGAGTAAGCGTCGTATTACGTCATGTGTCGGCAACCTACGACCCGCGGGCCGGATCCTGCCCTTGGAGTAACACAATCCGGCCCTCGACGCTTCCCTGAATTATAGTAACAAAACAGCTGTTTTGACGATTATATTTTTCACGTTACACAATTCATTGTAAGACGCGTGTAGACTAAATTATATTATAATCTAACAAGTATAAAATTCACAATTACTCGTTTATTGAGCCTATAATTTAATTATAATTAGACAAATGGCAACAGAACGTAGAAAAGTTGATGCTGGATGCAAAGGGTTCAATGGCGCCGAAAATGCAATGCAATGAGGAAATAAATCTATATTCTGTTTGAGAGATGTATCATTGTTTCATTTTAATTATCAAAAGCATCATCCGTTCGGTTTTCAACTTTCTAAAAATATGTGCGGCCCGCCAATGACTTGCAACCATTATTTGGGCCCGCGAACGACAAAAGGCTGCCGCCCCTGTATTACGTCACATTAAAAAAGGACTTGATTGTATTACATCTTATCATGATCTTGGTACACGAAATTTGGAGATTTCAAAATTGAAAAAAATTCAATTTCAGAAAGTGATCGACCAATCGGAAATCATAAAGGGCGCGTATACATTTCATAGCACTTGGAATATATCTCTCATCACTGAGTCTTATATCGCTGTGAATAATGTTATTATGTTGAGCGTGACCTCTGTTGCATTTTGTCATTGGTTAAATCGGGAGGGCTTGACCTAGGATGTTACTTCAGGTACGTGTATTACATAAGGTGCACCAGTCAATAAATTTCTTAGATTTTTTTTCATACGTAAGGGACACTGGGCTATAATACGCATCCGTTACCGATACTGCTCTTGAGCGTAGAGTGCACGATTGATTTTTGAGGGGGAATGGATTTGAAGTTCGCCTTATGGTCCATAAAAACGGTAAATATGATAACATCGCAGTTCACGGTACTCCCGTAGTATAGGAACCAAGATGGTGGACACCGGAACGTGGTATGTGTACCAGATTAGGATTGGGCCATAACTTTAGGTACAAATCCTACGGAAGTTACTTGACTAGTCCCCTAACATTGTAATAGAACTAAAAAAGGGAACTTGGAATAAAATTATGGCCTTATCCTAACCGGGTACACATACTACGTTCCGGTGTCCGCTATCTTACTTCACATACTACGAGAGTACCCAGTTCTCTAATCTCAGATTCAGATACTATGCTCTCCACCTTGTCTAGAGTGTAATGGATTTGGTGTCGATGCTTATACGTTACTGTTTCTTTCAATAAATTGTAGATATCGATAGGTATTACTTCACGGGATAAAGCACGTTGACATTGTTGTGTCCTGGGTTTGCTGCCAGAGTGTCTTAATCATATTCAAGTTTATTTTTTCCATCCAGTAAAAAATAACATATGAAATAGACGAAATACAAAACTAAACATACCGTTTTTATTGGGGAAAGGAAGTGGCGGAGAACCAGAATTGGTTAAGTTAGGCATATCACAATCTTTACTCCATTTCTTTAATTTGCTTTACGCAGTAATATGTATAGCGTGATGAAAGAACAAAAATTGATTACTACAAAAATGAAGAAAACTTATTTTATTTTGTTCATACTTAAACATGCGTTTACTTTGTGTATGATTAGTTTCAGAAATCTAGGACGCTTTGCACGAAAGTGGTGTTCAATGTAGAATATGTTTCAAATGTCCTGGTTTTGTAGACAGACTTGCATCCGTTCAAATTTGTAACAAGCCATGAGAAATTTATGAGTCCTGTTTGTGGGGCCATCCTGTGCGAGCTGAACAGTTAATAAACTTGATCCTTCTTGTTACTTTACAGACATTGTACACTTAAGCACTTAGCAGGCTAATTCAGAAGTCAAATATGATTTTTGTCAAAGTATTCTGCCTTTTCTTTTTCATCGGCTTCATGTTTGGAAAGAAATTATTACCTGGTGAGACTTGTGATAATTTTAATATAACAAGTGTCGTGGTTCTGGTTAGAGTCGTTAGTCGCAATTTTTTTTTTATCTCTTAGTGCTGGTAAAATATTTCAACCGACATCATGCAACTCGGCGACATGGCGCATTGTTTTAATCTTTGCGTTTTGAATACGCTTGCCATCGCACCTCTGATTCCCCTTTTTGGTTCGCTTTCCATTTTCATCGAGAGGATTTCTGGACCCCGCCGCTGGTCGGTTCGGTTTCTTCCACCATCAAGTCAATCCATCTGAGCAGTAACTGGCCAACTAATCTATACCCGGCATGGGCCGGTAGCCGAAAGAGAGGCCGTGGTTTGCGATATTACTAAGCCGTCTTATCGGCTTTCCTCTCCCCGAGTGAAATACGAAAAAATACATTTCCCATTTCAACTCCACTACCACAAGCAGCAATACCAGACTGCAACTATTAGGTTTACTAACATCTATTTTCATTTTATATTTTACAGATGGAGTCTGCGTCACCAAACTAGTGAAAGGGAAACTCATCTCTGTAGGAGATTGCAAGGTAAAACTGAAATGATCACAACTAAGTACTTTATTTATCAGTCATGAAATGCTGTGATTAAAACAAACGTCTCGACTTTGAGAATAAAATTTTTAACCCCAAATCCTTTCCATCTTGTCTAATTAAATCCGATTTCCCCAAAGGTATCGCATCTTATCTATCGGTACCTTCATTAAAATTGCCTCCCCAAAAACATCACAAAATTCTCCTCAGTTGGGAAACGCAGGTTTGAAATCAGAAGTTGAAAAAAATCCTTTCCAACTTTACGCCTGGCATATTCTGTAGAACTAATTTTGAAAAATTATATTTTGTTAACAATATTTGACTTTATTTCACAGAGAGGCGACGGATCTGGTAAGAAATTGAAAAAAAGATTTTTAAAAGGGCAGGCCAGATAAGTGCGAGTCATGTTGCCTTCTAAATAAATATTTCGATTTAGGAAAAAAAATCGATTCATTAATTATGCTTTATGCATATTTGATTTTAACGAAAACAGTAAATCGTACGGTTTTATTTAAGAAAATACTCTCGTTAACGTCTTTCTAACATAAAACTTACAGAAAATAAATTTAATGATTTTTACATTATAACTTGTTTTACTCAAAATATGAGCTTGTGTTTAATGCGTGATGATGACAAGCCTTTCAATCGTTTAACCAAAATAAATTAATTTACGACTCTTACGCTTTGTAGAGTTACCTACGCCAAGTGCGTGTAATAAGAAATCAGCTGGTGATTCCCATACCGATACTGAACTAATGACATCTAGCGACATCAACTTTTGGTTGACACTTTGGTATGCGATTGCTTGACATGCCCCTCATTCGCATACCAAAGTTGCACTAATTGTGATTCACGCGTTTAATCTCATGAAGACATTCGTAGAATTCAGTTTTAAGTCCTAACTGAGATCACACAATCGATGAGATGTATTACCAAAATATAATGATTTGAATAAGTTTCTTCATATAGTGTGAAGTGAACATGAACTTCGACAGATAATAATGGTGTTTTAATCTTTGGCTTGAATGCCTGCATCGTCGTTTAAACAAATTTCATCTTTTACAGAGATTGCCAACCTGATTAAAGAAAGTCTCGCAAAGAAGCAACAACGTAAGTTATTTCAATATTTTGCAAGGAGTCGCATATTTCAGACTGCAACTCAACATACCGGAACATGTCGTTTGGAAGGCCTAAGCACTCAAGTCTTTTGTTTCTTATTTATGTCGTTCAAAATATAAACAAAATCCAACCCAAGGATATGCTCAAATACTATGCGGTACGTATTGCTTGAATGGTCACAAAATCAACTGTCTGACTAATAATAGCAGATGTCGAGTATTTACGCTGTGATACTTCCCACATATACAATTATTACTGAGCAACAATAAATCTGCTAGAAAATAAAATTAGTAGTTTTTAGGTTTTTGTTGAAAAAACAAGCAACTCAAAAAATTTTCGACCCATAGGTTGAAAAACACTGTTCCAAGACAAATGGGAACATTTTAATCCCAGATTACATGAAGTCATTTTTGAAAGCGGTTTAATTTTTAACATAAAATATTCAATGACCACAATAATGTTTTCAGAAAAATGTGACGTCACATACAAGAAAAAATGCTTCCGAGCACGATGCCGAACCAACTTGCGAATCAATGAACGGAAAACCCGCGAATATTTACGACCTCAGGCATTACCAGCTGCTGCTCCCTTATCTACGTTCACTGATTCCTGGTGGTCAGACATATATTGACATCTGGACTGGGATGGAATATAAGGTCAGTTGATGGATCACAATCTCAGCAGAGTTTGACTCATTTTTTAAAACTTCATCTTGTCAACGGTCGGCCAAAAGCGGTTTATTATTGAAATTATCAAATGATGGGCCGGATAACGATGTCTTATTGGTAATTTAAGCGATTAGTTATTTTGAAAAATAGAAATATTAAACATGATTTCCAATATATTATGACGTCATAGCCCAATATTTTAGAATTTATAATTTGTCACTTTGAAGCCTATTATCACACGCAAATATTTTCATTCTCCATCTAATATGTCAGTTGCATTAACATTTCAAGCAACAGATCTACAAACTGTTTATTCAATTGTTACAGAACAATCAGCTTTCACTGTCCGATGGAAGACCAATCACTATAGCAACAGAAGTGTGGGCTCCCAATTTTCCGAAATTCGATGCATCTCGCACAAATGTTGCTGTTCGTGTCGAAAAAGATCCTGGGAATGCAGATACATATCAGGGAATGTTCAATTATCCACCATTCTACTCATACAACGGTGTCATCTGTGAAATATAAAACCATATCAAAACCCGACAGAACTTCGTTGACGGATTAAATGAAGTAAAAGACAAAAACAGTTAAATGACTTGTTGTTATCTATATAGATTTTACTAAAGTTTTTGTTCGCTTTTCTATGGCGTTGATTATATAAACTACCAATGTTCTGGTTATCTTAGGCCCATGCCTGATTGATGCATAACTTATAAGACGCCCACAAATGATCCTATTTTAAAATAATTTTAAATTTTACTAAATCGCATACTTTTACAAAGTCTGTTTTTCAAGCTTTAAAACCTTTAAAACCTGATTTTATTTATGAAATAAGACTAAATTACGTGTTTATTAAAGTTATATTACTGATATTTTTATTTGTGCATTTTTCATTCCACACTGAAGTCGCCTGTGATTATGATTAGACAAAGGCCACACAAGTATGCTCGTCTTAATAAATAAAACTTGCTTTTTTCATTATTAGTTAGTTTCAGTGGCTGAATTAGAAAATCTAAGAACGGATTCTCTTTTGCATCGAACTCGCTAACAACGGGTTCTCTAATTTTAAATAACTAAAACTAACGGAACTAAATAATATAAAAACCTGGAACAGTTTGAACCCTTTGAATCCTGCCACTGCTTACTTATATATTGTTCCTTTACTATTATTCTATTAATAACCGTATAACCCATGCCTTGAATTGGTCGCCTTGTCTATTGAAAGTTTTTGCTCAGTAAATAAATTCATAGCTGTCTCCATGTGATTTCTGTATATAACCAAACATGATAATAAATATTGATTCGATCATTTGTGGTTTTCTTCGTTATTGTTATGAACCAGTGAGTCGAACCTTGCAAAATCTAGGGTGAGAGTTCACCTTTACGGCGTTAACACTATTGAGGATCTATTATTAAAGATTCAAGAAACACGGAAAAGGGCTTTGTATACATAGGGAGGAATAAAATGTTCAAAATAGAAAATAGAGGAATTAGTCTCGAGCTCGGTAAATCTTATCCTTGTCGAACCGGTTAACCAATCTTATTGTCAACATGAATCGGTAACCGGACAAAAGACGTAATTCACCATATGATTATTATCGGCTTTCCTTTCTCTGGGATAAATATGAAAATTTTATCTTATAGTTGTAATTGTTACTATGGTTTGCAAAACAAGAGAGCGATGCTCGAATATATGGACACGGAATCTAAAACAAAGTACTTTTCGCACCGTACTACGGGTAACAATTAATCTCCGATTTTCGCACAGCGTCGCGTATATTCGGAAAATGCTGTCATGCTTTGTGGATTAAAAATCGTGTTCCCATGAAAAAATAAAATATATTGGATGAAAATTAGATCTCATAGAAAATTTAAGAATAAATAAAAATAATAGCCTTTTAGAGAAAAATACTATCTTTTATCACTATAACTTTCAAAGCAATTGGTCCATCAGTGAATTAGAGAATCGAATTTTCAAAAGGGAACCAGAAGAAATACAATAAAAACAACATTTTCCAAAAACGATTCATAGGTCCATTTCGTATCCAATAAAACCTATTTCGCATTATCTTGCGCGGTTGAAAAATATTCTTATCCGGACTCACAAAACTTGACTCCTTTAATGTGGTTCAGTCAAACCATCATTGTCACTTAGCTCTGTGTTGGAATATCTTCATCAATAATGCGTGTCAGAAGCAATATATATCCGTTTTCCTCCCCGACTGCACAATCTCATAAGAGTTATAAGTATTGATGTCAGAATAAAATTTTTGAGTATGCAAACTGGCGGTTTTCACTAAAAACTTTTTTGTGAAAATGTTGCAAGATTCGGAATAAATTTGTCATCAGTATTCTAGCTAAACCAACCACTAGTGGTCGCTCCTCACGGCTTCTTACATCATCAGGTGTGGCACTAAGTGTTAGAAATAGACTGCAATCGCACCTCTGATTACCCTGCGTGGGTTCGCAGGTTCGAATTCCATACGGAGATAATTATGTTCGATGGGATCGCTGTACTTCTCCCGCCGGAGGCTTCCCTTATAATCGTGTTCATGTACCCTGGCGCTCCAAAAATGAGCACTAGCAATTTTGTAGTAGTAGAGTATTTTTAAGAAAATTTGTGGGCTCGGGAAAACATCCGGGAAGTATCCGTCAATCAGAATTCATTAAACTTAAACCCTCATATTTTGTACAGTTTCAAATATATATCTTCGATATTCCAACCAAACCTCGTATCGATGAGTGTTGTCATTAAGTTGTGTGGGGGAGGGACATGACTTAGGTTGCTGCGGTTTACTAAGGATGTTACGTCATGCAGTATACAGCATAAAAAAATGTTATTGATATTGTATTCAGTTAACCCGTATGGCAGTGATCGCAAACGGCGGCCAGCAAACATGTTTTGGTACTCCCGAAGTATGTGAACCAAGATGGCGACACCCGAACGTAGTATGTGTGCTAGGTTAGGGTTAGACCATAATTTTATTTCAATTTTTCTTATTTTAGTTCTGTTACGAATTCGAGGTCTAGTCAATGACTCTCGTAGTATTTCTACCTGGAATTATAGCCTAACCTGGTATACATACTACGTTCCGGTGTACGCCATCTTGATTCACATACGTCGGGAGTACCCATTATTAACAGAAGTTGTTCATAAACTTATTATTGTCTGCGCGCGGATGTATGTTGTAACAATGGGTGTTGTTGTAGAAATTAACGTAAGCGAAAGCAAATGTCAGTTGTTGCTAGAACACGCCTACCGTTAGGTTATTTATAACTAACGTCTAACATATCGTTGGAATTTACACGGAAATAGAATTTGCAATTGCGCCATATTTCGAAGTTTACTGTTTCGATAATTTGCAGGCTGCATCTGATGCGGCCCACACGCAACCGGAAATGTGTATATTTGGCCCGGTATTACGTAAAGTTTGTCGACTGCTGTTGTAAAGACCATCAAATTTATAAGACCAGATACGTATATTGCAAACGTGCAGTTGCGATCTCTGTAATATGATGAATTAGTAATAGGATGATTCCACGTTAGTCCGCTAATAAGCAGCATCTGGGCGGCGTTCGTTGAGGGGCGGTTCTAAACGCCGAGGATTAAGATGTCAAAACATTATCAAATACAGTCCAAAAACATTGACTATTAGGTACTGAAAGGCAATATTATGTTTATGATATAATATCAATAATTTATTCGGAAAGTTTGTGAGGCTCGTTAGGCCGAGAAGAAAATGAACATGTATAGCATAGGAGTGACTTCAACTCCCCACTTACACCCAAAAAATTCCAACGTATTGTTTCTTCAGATGCGATTTTGCGGCATTTGCAGTGAGACACAAACTTGTATAGCTTGAATAACTCCGACAGTGCAGTAAGTCTATCGAGAGATTATAGGATAGGATTTACATATTTATCCCGGGAGAAAGGAAATCCGACAAGACGACTCAGTCATATGGCGAACCACGGCCTCTCGTTCAGTTACCAGTCTAGGTCAGATATGAGCTTAGTTGAGCCAGGTATTTGTTTTCGGAAGCACGGACTTGATGGTAGAGGAAGCCGTAACCGACCAGCGGTTACGTGAACCACCCTACGGCGGCGAGGAGTCCAGCAATCCTTTTGCACATAACCATCCTCGCATGGGATTTGAACCTGCGATCCCACGAAGGGTAATCAGAGATGGGGTGGCGAGCGTATTCCTAACGCTTAGCACGACGCGCCACACCGCCGAGCATATCGAGGCACAGTTCTTACCACTTCACGGCGGCTCCTGCCACGAACGAACCGCGCCGTCTCTTGCCATGGTTTTATGACGGTAGCACCGGTATATTCATGTACGATATTTTAGTTTATCATCCGGAAATATTTTTACTTGAACCTGAAACCTAATTCCAAATCCATCAAGACTATATCTATAAGGAAAATGTTCCAATTTAACCATAGTTTGTTACCATCAGGGGTCGTCCTGCCATTACCGCCAATATGCCTTGGTTTGTGGCAGCACAATTTTACCCGCCACGGTTTTCAATTTGCTGCCGTGGTACCCCGCCTCACACCATTGCTTTGTGGCATCTAAAAAGTCAGCCGCCATAGTTTGACCACAGCTGACATGGTTTGAAATCCCGTAATGGTTTCGAGGCAGCTTCAGACGCCGCAAAATACTCAAAAGTGCACTTGAAGATATCAGTGGGCGCTTGTACGCGGCCTTGTTCTGAGTGATGCAATAAAATTATATCATTATAATGAAAGCAAGAGAGTAAGTGTTGCAAAAGTTCTGACAAATTAGTAAGTCGCACCGTAAGTCGACGCAAAGACGACAAACACAACTAAACGGCAAGGCATTTCAAATGCTCTCCACGGCAATGGATTGAATAATTTACGCAACAGAAAAATTGTTATCCGCGGAAAAAATCGGCTAGTTGAGCAATTGGCGTAATCGTGGCACTTGTTTTAGATTTTAAGAAGCTGTCGTATGCCAATTTTCGACACGTAGTTCGATGTACAAAGTAGGACGCTTTGCACAAAAGTCATGTCCTCTCTAGTATATGTTCTAAATCAAACTCACGGCCCCAAGGAACTTCCAATGCGGACAAACAAAAATCTTTGTTTTCAATTTGACCCAATTATGGATACACCTCAATCTAGCGAAAGCATACTTGGAAAAAAAAAGTTCACGGATGGAATGAAACGAAATGTACATGAAGAAAGTGGCATTTAAAAAAAAGTTGCAATATTTGTGCATTTCACAAAATTCTAAAACACATTGTTCAATTGTCACTTTCAAAATAAGACCAAAGATCAACTTCGAACAGAAAGTTTTCATGTTTTTGCAGATTATTATAATTATACATCTATCTAGTTACTAAAAACCAATATCAATTATAACTCAAGCGGTCCTATACCACGTAATGGTAGGAAATGTGGCGGGAAATGTCTGGTTTAAAAAGTCAGTCTCCCGTTTGTTAACTCATTATCTGTACATGAAATTAAAAACGTGATATTTTGGCGTTAATGAAAGTCATCAAACATTCTCAACGATCCAGATTAACCGATAAATCATGTGACCTCGTTATTTAGAGTTGGTACTGTAAAATAATTTAAGCCTGATATTAGTAAGCTGGTGGCACAAAAAAGAGATGCTATACGCCAGGACATATGTCCTAAAAATCATATCACAGGTTCGACGGATGAGGCTGATTGTGTTAAACATCAGATTTCAACTTTTTGATCGAAATCGTACTCCACGCCAAGCGCAAGACAGCCTAACATTTTATTTTTTTAATTAGAGGGAAATTGAAAAAAAAATCAATATTTCCTATTACAGCTGATTTGAGACTTTAGAAACCCGAAGTTGTACTGTATGGTATTATTATGCTCTCGGTACACGAAATTTTAGAATTTCAAAAACGCCTCGCTTCTCGACTTCAGGAAGTGATCGACCAATCGGAAATCATAAAGGTCACGTATATATTTCATAGCGCTTTGGATATATATTTTTCTGAGTATAAATATATCGCTGTGAATAATGTTATTATGTATGTTT